TACATATATTAGGTCATTTTCTTAGCTTTGCCAAAATAAATAAGTATTATCAAACAATCTTTCAATCAATCGTTTCAGGGTGGGTCCAGGAGACATGGGTTTATCCCAACCCCCCAAAAATGAAGAAGAAAGGGAGAAGAAAGACCAGAAAGAAGAGAGCATGACGTCACTGTAGGCCTACTCCAAAACAACCTATTTTTTTTAATGTCTGTTGTCTCCACCATTTCTAAACAAAATTCTTTCTCTATATCAGGCCCTTATGGGTGGATGGATTTATTCGGTGTAAACACCAAGGATAACCCACAAAAGTCGGAAAAATACTTGTTTCCAGTGAGGTCCTTCTGATGGTGATTGGGCACTACATCGGCAGTGGCCTAACGATGGGCCCGGGGCCCAGTGGTTTTCTGAGAATGGGGTCCCCTTTTTGATCCGGTCAACACTTTGATTGTGGGAATTTAAATTTGCTCGTTTTTCTAATATTTGGCATTGTATTCTAGATTGCTTTTAACAGGGAAATAAATTATATATCAGTTGCAGATTTAGGTATTCAAAATAGAGGGAATGTTGGTAGGGAGTGGCTTTCACACACCTATTCCACCTCAGCCCCAGCATGGTTGGGGCTAAGGTAAGATCATTTATGAATACGGCACCTCAAAGTGGCCGGAATTGGCACTCATATATTTAAAATGCGAGTATAATTTCCATTTTTAAAACAATTGGAAAATTGTAGGTGGCCCCAGGCCGACAGAGCCCCCATTAAACCTTCACGGATATACTATGATATATGTCTTACAGTCGATCTCAGAGACACATTAAGCTGTTATGTATCAACAAAGCCCTTTTGGGTAAGGGTGCCCGAGCGAGGACCCTATGGGTTGGGGAACCTTCGGGGTCCTAGGTGACGGGGGCCCTGCGGACCGCCGCATGGGAGCGCATAGTCGTTACACCACTGTACATCGGGAAACAATTTCCTACTCATTTCCAATTAGTATACTGCGTTCTTTAACGTGCACACAGGCAATAATGCACACGGAACCAACAGGTTAAATGTCTCATCCGAAAGACGGTGCGCTATCGTAACTTGCATTTCAGCCCTCCAACAGAAATACAAGGAAGAGCAGTGATGGGAATTCAATACACTACCTCATTCCTAAAGCCCCTTCCAATTTCCATCTTAGAAAACTTAAAGAACTTATCCTCCAAAAGGCTGGAAAGGATTCCCTGTACAGGCGAATGCTTTGTTCATTTTTAAGTCAGTAATTAAAACAACTATAATAATCTCACTACAATAATTATAATTGCAATAATAGTAATAATAATAATTATAATTGCAATAATAGTAATAATAATAATAATAATAATAATAATAATAATAATAATAATAATAATAATAATAATAATAATAATAAAATAATAATAATAATAATAATAATAATAATAATAATAATAATAATAATAATAATAATAAATAATAATAAATAATAATAATGGTTGTCTTTTTGCCCTTTAAACCTTTTTCCTTTTGCTGTTATTGGACTTCGCCCAGAAAGCGTTACTTAAGGCTTGGTAGTAATGTGTTAGATAGTAGTAGGAGCGCCCCACCCCCCTCCGCCATCCGAGAGCTCACGAGTTACGCAAATGGGTCCTGTTTATATTAATATGATAGGCCATAATTGGAATTTATGGGACAGTACATGAAACACCACACCGTTTCTGATATATAAACTGCAATACATTATTCAGCATCGAAAGAGCTTTCCAACGATACCAAACACGACTTTTTGGTGAGTTTATATACTTATTCTTATTTTATACACATTTTAAGTATATTTTGCGGATATTTTAAAACAAATAAACACCTATTTTTGAATTATGTTCCATTCTGGCATGAGTGACAGTAGTTTTTAAATGTCTGATTTGTTGCCTGTATATAAATAATGATTTTAGACACCAACATCATATCTGTAGCTTATTTAGTTCCAATATGCACATTTTAGATAAATTTGGCGGCCATTTTGAAAAATGGCCGCCATTTGTATACCAGGTGAAAAATCAAGTGTCAACAGGGCTTAGGGTGACCAGGACGGATTAATTAGGATATCTGGCTATGTTGACTGCTTCTAACATTCCACTCCCCCTAACTTGATTTCTAGGCCTCTTTTTTTATTTTTTTCCTAGTCTAATAGCTTTAATATCGACGTGTGCCTGGTGGGTTGTGTGAATCATGGTCTAGGTGTTTTTGTTTTTTACTAGCGGTGCTATTTGTGCTCAGCGAATTTCCAGACTGAGAGTACGGGGAGCAGACTTTACTCACCCATGACCCCTGACCTGACCTGACCTGACCTGACTATACGTCACATAAACCATTAATAGGGCCTGTAAGCTATTATTATTATTATGTAATAATGTTTATTGTGGGATATAGAAATTGTGCTTGAAATAAACGTTGGTGTGACACCTACAAGAGAGAAAAAAGCTATTCTTGCCTGAACGTTTTATTCTTATTCTTTATTTTTCGTCAAACAAATATATACACACATTTAGATAATAAACTGAATACCCTGTCAGGACGCAAAGGCTTGCTTTGCACTCGTACTAAGGCCTGTTTCTACTGGCGAGAAAGAACCGTTCGTTTTTAAGAATGGTTCTTTGTGGCAGTAGAAACGGGACTCTCGAGTTAACAGTTAATAGAAGATTATACAAACTATATCTGCGCTGACAATTTGTTAATAAAATATGCTGTGTATTGCCACTGTCTCTTATACACATCTAGATGTGTATAAGAGACAGCATGAGAAGCGTAGGTGAAAACGTATACCTGTACGTTGACATAATATAGACAAACAAAATTTATTCACTCCTGTGCGTAGCATTGTGTAATACAATGTCCTCGACGGTTAGTTGGACCTGTTCAACCATGAAGCCTTTGTGGTCTAGTGGTTATGACGCTCGCCTTGTCAGCGAGAGGTCGCAGGTTTGAATCCCATCGGAGGAATTTTATTACACAATGACTTTTTATAGGACTTTATTTGTTGAAAACCTACGATGTTTCATCATGTCCTTATTAAACACTGTATATGTACCTTTGATCATTTATATTATATTTATTCAACAGTGTTAACGGCTAACTTCCTTCAATATCATATATAATATACGACAGTATATTCCTAGCCGTATTGCCAGATTTATCTGGCCGAACGCCCTCTTGAGGCGTAGCATTGTGTAATACAATGTTCCCGACGGTTAATTTGGACCTGTTCAACCATGAAGCCTTTGTGACCTAGTGGTTATGACGCTCGCCTTGTTAGCGAGAGGTCGCAGGTTCGAATCCCGTCGGAGGAATTTTATTACACAATGACTTTTTATAGGACTTTGTTCGTTGAAAAGCTGCAAGGTAGCCTACGATGGTCCATCATGTCTTTATTAAACAATGTATATGTACCTTTGATCATTTATATTATATTTATTCAACAGTGTTTACAGCTAACTTCCTTCAATATCATATATATATATATATATATATATATATATATATATGTGTGTGTGTGTGTGTGTGTGTGTGCAATGCATTTATATATTAAATTAAAATATAACGGAAGATGAAACAAAGTCAAATATCTCAGCGTTTACCGGGACTCGATCCCAAGACGTTTTACATACATCGAGGACGTCATTACGAAAGAAAAATGTACATTCCACATTTTGAATACTAAACAGAAGGTTTGCAATAGAAAAAATACTTATTCGGATGAAGATGTAAGTCGTATGTGTTTTTACACAGCAGTAAATGTTACAGTAGCATAATATGTTTTCTCTCTAAAATCAACTGATGTTTATATTGTACGGCAGAGTTGATTAAAAGTCATCTTGTTTCTTTATCAATTGTGATTGCACTCGAGTCTCTATCAAGTTTGATATTGCCGGACACGTACGAAGACACATAAAACTTCTTTCGCGGCTTTCTTCGGACAACTTCACGCCAAGTCCTTTTAACGGCTTTGTTGAATTCCTTGTATTTAAATGTATAGATAAACGGGTTCCAGCAAAGATTTGAAGTTAATAACAAAACTGTAATTTTATTCAAATGCGCATTTATTTTTACTCCACAGTTTGAAAGAAGGTACAGGAGAATCTTCGGCGTCCAGCATATAAGGTACGTGATGAAAATAATAAGAACCGTTGATACTAAGCATTTATTTAATGCGTTATTAACATTTCGGGTGGATCTCTCCGGCATATCAATATTAGTGTTTGAACGTGCGTGTAATTTTAATGTTAAGTATATCTTGTAGTAAACGACTATAAATATCGCAGTGGGTACCATCCACTCGATGATGAAAATAAACACGCCATGGCCGATCATTAATGTTGTTTTTCCGTTCCAGTTGTAAACACATACCCTAAGTTCTGCGTCAGATTCTGACACTATAAACGAGTGAACACTACAGATGAAACCTGCAACGTACGTGACTGGTAGGGCTACCGGAACGGTGCGTCCTCTGAACAGGACAAGGTGCTTCATCGGTAAAACTATAGCATAGTACCTTTCAACAGTTAGATATACCATATTAAATGTTGAAGTTACTGCCAAAATCCAATAAAATGTCCGGATTTTACAAAACACATCCTGATCCTGCCAGATGCCGAGTGCCTGTGGTATTGGGTAAAATGGTAGGAACAATAAAGCGCTCATAAAATCAATCAGGCACTGATGGAACAACAATGAGTGCGTTACTGTTTTAGAAATTATTTTCATCCTTTTAAAAACATAGAGAGCTCCGGCATTTGCTACCAATCCCAGGCATCCAATAATCATGGAAAAGATCGTGAATAAATAGTCAGCCATTCGATCACTTACAGAATGATAAACAAGGCAAGCAATCGAACGCGTCGCAAAACGTGACACTATCAAGGAAATCAGTTGATGAGAAAGTTGCTCATATCTGGGAAACGTCCGAAAAATGAGTTTTACTCCGATGTAGCTGAATGCGTATTCTGTCAACGAAGTTTACAACGTCATAATATCAGACATAAGTATAATTTACAGCCCGTCATCCGAGTAATACGGTACTTAACGTCTTGTCAAAACAGCGTTTGAGAGCGACTTTTCCTTCTCAGTGAATGCTCTATGTAAAGCATCTGTAGGAGTATATATTTACTAAAGACTAAAGCTTACTGCTGACGATATCACTCACTCAGTGAAGTTATAAGTCACTTATTACTTAATGTCACTTTAAGCGTGTAAACGCATTTTTAATTACATAGAATTAACAACGCAGCAGACCCTGTCAATGTTGGGCTGATTAGTTGTAAACATTCAATTATGCATATACGCCATAGGTCTTGTAAACATAAAGTCTGTACAGCGATTTCCAAATTCAAATGTTCTTTTATTGGTTCAGCAGACCAAAAACGTAAAATATCCTCCCTTACTTTCTCATGTGCTTCTTGGTACTGAAATTAGCCCTAAACATGAGTCCGTTTTCTGATAACCCGGTTACTTATGATGACGTTAATAACACTTCGGATTTCCAGTGAGTCTGTAGTATAGCCTTTCGCATCCTGTTACCTGTTTCAGGTTTCCGTTTATGTATGCTCCATAAATTATTTAAAATCGTCTTACTATTAAATAAAATACAACGATATAAATCAGTATCTTCTTTTTCCATTTGTGGGTCGACAAGTCATCGACAAATTAATCGTCTGGAAATAAGAAAATACCGTATAATTAGAAAGATATTGACGTTGCAAAATGATCGGAAAAAAAATTATATATACTGTAATACTGTCATTTGTAATAACCTAAGAATGAAATAATAATACCATAATTGAATAAACGTGTAGCCCTTCCTACGTAATGCAGCAAATAACTACGCGAGTTCCAAGGTCGGTGTTTGTTCATATTTTTAATGTTTTACATTGAACTGCTATAACAATATAATTACACAATGACAAAAATAAATATCCAATATCCAAGCCTAAACATGTCTACAACATCAACATCAGTAAGCTACAATTTATACAATAAACACACATTTGCACAATAACAAATGATTTAATAAATAAAACATCAACTTGCAGGTGATTGCTCTACAAGCACAAGGGCTTCCCACGGAGGTAAATAACCCCCGTAACCCCCATCCCACACCGTCGAACAGGTCCAACCTGACGGTAATACCAAGTGTTGGATAGTTTTGTGCATACTCTTGATCTAGAATAATTCCAAGCCAACATAAGCTTCCATGTGTTTCCATGTTATCGCTACACGCTATCGCCGAAAGCGTTCTGTGATGTTGATTGAGCTCGGTGTCCGTAGAATCGCTCACCCTATCGGTGACTGGCCTACCTGGTTTAACTTTGCCAATTCGTTGCAGACGAATCGGGGTGCCTTCCCGATTGCGTCAGGGCAGCTAGTAATGCACCCTGATTCGTCTGCAACGCAATCGGCAGAGTTGAACCAGTTTCAACCTTCCCGACAACTATCGAGACTGTCGCGGTGAGCGATTCTATGGAAAAGGTCGGTTTTTATATATGAATCGCTCACCCTATTGGCGGCAGTCGCCGACAGTTGTCGGGAAGGTTGAACCTGGTTCAACTTTGCCGAATGCGTTGAAGACGAGTCAGGGTGAACTGCTAGCTAACCTGACGCAATCGGGAAGACACTCCGATTTGTCTGCTAACCCGAACTTCAGTTGGTTCTTCCCTATGGCAACGATTGCACTGGAAACAATGTAGTGACAGTGTAGCGAGTATAAGGAGACCAGGTTGTACGTAGAGCATGGAACATCTAATACTATTCCATGAGTTTCCCCATGATTTTTTTTATACCTTTGGCCAAAACATCAGGTGATTTTATATATTAATCGCCTGGCTGTAACGTGAGCTCATATCGTGCGACTGGCCCATGACAGTGTAACATAATAATGACGTCATAAAAACATAATTACCGTTACATAGTAATAATAGCAATGGTTTGTTTCTTTAAGGAGGCTGTATAGGAATTATCGACTGTATAATCATAAGTTATTACAGCGTCGTAAAATATTGTTAACAACCATGTTAGTTTGACGCTGGTTCAACTTTTCAATCAATTACTGATAATCATTAAATAACCGGCACATTGCAACATCACAATTCCATACTTCGTGTAATGTATTAAACCTAATGCAAGCGGATGAACTATGTTCGAGTACGTTACTCAAAGGCAATCTGGCGATAATGATAATGGTCTTTGTATCACCGAAGTGACATTACTTTTTAATCTATACCTATGGAGAAAATGAAGCACGTACGCGACAACAACGGATTGAGCCAAGAAGCTTATTTGATATTTGGAAGACTGCATTAATAATAATGGTGGACCATTAATATCAGGTGAAATAGAGATAATAATCATATCATGTGATAGGTCTAAAGGTACGATAAACAAAATGACAATACTGATAATAATAATTATAATAATAATAATAATGATAATTACTAATTCAAGTTGTAAGTACTATTATAGAGGCAAAATAATAATGATGATACTTGTAATAGTAGATATAGTAAGTAGGCCTATTGATATAATAGATAATTCTTAAATGACTGAGTGATCAATTCGGAATAAAACTATATACTGTAGGTCTAATACCGCTACTAATACGATAGTAGTATCAATATTAACAATAGCAGTATTATTGGAATTCAGGCCCGTACGCATGGGGTGGGGGTGCGATGGGTGCGAAACCCCCCTCCCCCCTAAAATTACCAAAGGTCCACATTTTGCAGGGTAGATAATTAAATAATCCCCCCAAAATTTGTCAACATTATTTAAAATAAGAAAAGAAATTTATATTCAAACTTAAGTCTGAAAGTGCTAAAGTCCGTGAGTCTGTGGAATTCCTTACCGTGCCTCTTCTATTTCAAATACAGGTACAGGTACCTAGATTAGTCACTGTGAAATCCCTCCCTGAGTCTCTTGAAATTTATAGATGCGCCACTGAAAACCGTTCATGTATCTTCAGAAATCGATTAAATAAGACGTCAAATTATCAAAAATGCCTACAAATTCGCACCCACCCAGTAAAGATACTGCGTACGGGCCTGGAATTAATCATGACTTAAGCTCACGGAACCAGTTTCAGAGACCTTATCATTAATAATACGGATGCAGTTTAAAATGGACAGACTGGTAATGAAAGTATTGAGTATTTCCCCTTGTTAATATGCCTTTTTTTCAAGTTTTCCATGTCCAGGGAATGGCTACTCCGTTTCATTTACAAATTGTGTTATACCTGTACTGTATAAGATTGAACAGGAAGATTGTTCTCAATTCTTCCTAATCATACAGTACCGTCTTGTTTGTGCTGCTGAGATTTTGTTGGTGTAAATGATTTTTTTTTTATCATTAAATTAATTGATATATATATATATATATATTATTTAAAAAGCGTTATTAAAATAAATATTATTATATAGGCCTAAACTTCATCATGATTAAAACTAGGCTAATGCATCTTTAGAATCCGCATGCCGTTGTTTTGTCGGCGTTTCATCGAACCACTTTCATAAAATCAAATGTACAGTATTGATAATAATCATTCTCTGTCTAAGCTCTCTTGACCATGATTGATTGAGAAGCTGCCAAACTAATCATAAACCCTAAATAAAGTATACTTTTAAGGCCATATAAAATCAATTGTTAGTTTCACATTCGAGAGTTGAAAGAAGCAATACTTTTACGATTATTTTAACTGTTGCTAAATTTATTTTTAGGCGAGTATCATCATCTCTTTCAGGAACTATATGACTGAGATCTGAATTTAGCACACCATAACAAGTTATGACCAACCGTAACTTTAGATAGCTAGCAGTCATTGGTATAGAAGAATATAAAAGTTCCAAGGGTCCAGGCTGCCTTCAGTTAGTAAATCCAAATTAATCTAAATTAATTCCACTCACACATGCATGCACTTTGCTCATATTCAGACCACGTTTTAGTCAAGCAATTATATATAAAGAATATGTTCATCTATTTCACATAAAAGTCAAGGTTTTCATAGCATACAAGCAAATCTTATCCTACCAGTAGCATAGTCTTTAGAGTATATAAATATATAAGTTACAGCATATTAACAAATAGTGTCTACTAATCTATGTAGAAACTTCCTATTTCCTATATCTTCAACATGTCACAAATATATAATTCTAAGAGAAATATACAGTAATTAGTAAGGCCTAAACTAATCGCTTTACTGAATTTATCCAACCTAAACATATGCACTTTTTTTTTATAAGGGACAGTAATTTTTTTTTCCAATTTCAAGCTCAAAATGTTCTTATTTTGTTCTTATTTTTACACACTATTCATAGATCGAAAATTACAGCAGTATATTACTGTACTGTACTGTGATAAAAAAAAAAACAAACCTCAGTTGACGGTTTGCCTCAATTTGCCCTCATTTTATTCTTAATTTTTAATAAATTTCAACCTCAGCGTTCCTATAAAAACAAAAATTATACCCTACCATATTTCAACACAAATATGACTACAGTAGAACCCCTGTTAGGGGACAGCTTCGGGACCAAAAAATGTGTCCCCTTAATAGGGGTGTCCCCTGAATAGGGGTACCCATATTCAGGGGACACTTACCAAAAACGTGAAATTGTCGCCTTAATAGGGGTTTTTGGCATATTTTCATATAAGGATGACATACAATTCTTCATAATTTTATTTTTATTGACATAATTAGTTACAGTAGAATTTATAACTAATTTATAGCAATAATTTCCATTTCATTTCTTTAGGCAAGAGCGCCAAGGATATGCCAATAAGTGAACTTAATCACCATCCTATGTGGGATATCCAAAACGCCGGGGTTACCCTCCATCCAATAACGACAGTTATTAAGAAATAACAATCATTATTAGGAAAAGTTAACTATAAAGTATTAATTTCTTTCTTAGTGAATTTTTTAAAATAACTTAACACATGAAAATATTGTAACAATTGTGATTTAGTCAGTCAATTACTGGTACTCAGTGCTACAATATTTTTTTTTCTAGTTACATCATATGCTTTTAAATCATTTGGGCGATTCCATGGTAACCGACGTTACAATTCATCCTTTAATTATAGTCACTTTATATTAAAAACATGAAAAATCTACAGGGAATTATCTTTTATTGCTACATGGTAGTACTATGGGAATGAAATATAGGAATTAAAAAGTTTAAATATATATATATATATAAATCATCAAAGAAAGGTAAATACAGTGTTCGAATAAAGGACATAATAATACATCGTGTAGCATAGATCTCAACGACTGTAGTCCTGTAAATAAATGAATAAAACAACTGTGTAATAAAATTCCTCTGGCGGGACTCGAACCTGCGACCTCTCGCTGTCAAGACGAGCGTCATAACCATTAGACCACGGAGGCTTCATGGTTGAACAGATTCAAATACCACCAGATACACTCCATTACACAATAGGTACGGCTAGAAACAAATAGTTGCGTATAATATAAATCGAGATAGCCGTTAACACT